TTAAAAAGTGAAGTGTTTCTGACCCTTTTTCTTTGGCGATCCAGGGATGGGGCAGACAAGGCTGAGTAATCACTGGCTCAGAACCCTGGGGAAAAGGAAAGGCTTAACTCTCAGCCCTGAAAACTAGAGCATAGACCAGCTAGGATGGCATAGGAGAAGGCATAGCAGGGCAGGGTGGACTCAGTCATTTCCCATGAAAGGTCATCATCACACTGAATACGGCATATCACGTGTATGTGCCCAACTCCTAATCCAAGGTCATGTTCTAAAAATTTGTTTAAACCAAGCTAGTTTGTAGTCTGTCTGGACCTAATTATTTTCCTCACACATCCAAGAATGTGTTTGGAAGACTTGTAGCAGAAAAGATGAGATACCAAATAATGATACAATAATGATACAATAGACTTGAGTTTTAATTCTACTGAGAGAAAAGAAAAGGCCCAAATAAGAAGCATCCTGGGTTAAAGCGGGAAGTATTTTCCAACGATCACAAAATACACAGAGGAGAAGGCCAAGTCGAATAGATTCCAAATCTAACTAAATACACAGGACAGTGAAGAACTTTATAATGAGACTGTGCAGTTCTTGAATTTATTTAGAAGTCTTAACAGCTTGCTATGTGCTAAGGTTTTAGAAGCAGTGAGGTCTGAGTTCAAATCCTGGCTGTGAAACTTGCTAGTTGAATGATGTGGGGCATTCAGTTACTTTGTCTGTGAAATGGACATAATAATGTGTATCATTTAGGGTTGCTGTGAGGTTCAACTGAGATAATGCATATAAAGTACTTAATACAACGCTGACATGATAACTTTTCAATAACTGGTTATTCTTCGGTGTTATTCTATCACTGCATGCATTTCCTGTTAGCATTTGTTGACTCCCTCATGCACACAACCTAGCACCCGATGATATCACAAATATTTTTTCACATATACTTACAGTAAACATTGGAGAAGAGTTGCCTTATTGTTTACCTAATTCTATCTTTATACAAAATGAAATGAAGGCCGTCTTTACCAAAAGCATGTGGGAAAGCAAGGGGCAAGAATTGAAGCTAAAACTGAAAGTTCTAGCAGCTCCTCTCCAACCCCTTTCTCTAGTATCTCCATTACCCCCAGAAGTATAATGGAGAGGACCTAATATGGGCCCAGAGGGCCCAGGAAGGCTTCCCACAGGAGATGCTAAGATCTGACATTGTTAACTAGCTATAGAAAGAGGAGTAAGAATAGAGAGAACTCTAGATCCAGAAGACAAATAAACTGAACCCCACACTAGGGTCTCCCCTCTTTCCTCTACACTCCTTCCCAAAGAATGTTTATGTCCAGGAATTTGTTGCAAAGTCCCCACAACCACTCCAGTTGGAGAAGTGGGTCTCAATGAGCATGCATGTGTACATGCCACCTTCACGGACTAAAGAATGTACCCGCCAGTAAAATAAGCCCATCCATACCAGTTACTTGAATCAATATATAATAGATGTTTGTATGTTTGGAGAGATCACTGACAAAAAGTGTTCTATATCATTAACAACTGCACTGTGGAGTACCAAGATTAAAAAAATGCTAACATCCATAATAGTGCTCAGTTTTGCTGGGTATCACAATCAAAATTCTAAGAATGTAGAAGCTAAGGTCAACTTGGAAGTTAATTCCAGGTTCAGGTTCTTGCAAATCACCAGCTCTGCTGTGCTCTTTTCTGAGTCAGAAGGAGAAAGGATTGCCTCTTGTGGTTAAAGTCATTGCTATGGTGGATCTTCAATGCGTTTGTGGGCCCATCACCTCTTCCCTCTTTTTCTGGTAATAGCATGTTTCTTCCTTGGAAGGCTGCTCCTCCCTAACTTCATCCATGTGATTTCAGGGAGCTGCCCTTAATGCTATCCCACCCATGTGATCAGAGATGAGAGCATGTAACTGAGGCCTGGACATCCATAGTGCCACTTTCCTGTGAACAGTGATTACTCAAAGGACAGGCGCATGCTCCTAGCCAGGCTAACCAGTCATTTCCCTAGACTTTTCTAAACAGAGCTGACAGGGAAGAGCTGTCTTTCCTTCTCTGTCCCCAACACTGTGAGGATGTTAGCCCGAAACATTTACACCAGGCCACCATCAGATGGAAAAAGCTCATCTATAGTGGAAGATGAGCCATGGTCCTGCTGGAGTTGAGGTCCTTGGTTCTAGGTGTTCCTGGGGTCAGCTCCCCTCCTGCCTTTCCCTCGTGCAAGTTGTGTTTCTGTTACTTGCAACTAGGAGTCTTAGATAATATGCAGGGAAAACTCAGACAGATACATTCAGGACAAAACAACTGATAAAACTAAAAGGGTAATAGAAGTCATCTATCCATCAGAGAATGCTTTAGAGGAGGGATTGTAGGGACTATGAATCAAGCAATGAAAACAAAAAGGATGGAGGGAAGATTAGAGCCACCTTGAGTGCCATGCAATCTACATTTCCTAGACTTCAGAGTGGAGCTGAGCTTCTTAACAAAACAACTTTGGATCTTTCATCTCTGCATTGTACATATCCTTGAATATTTTGCATAGTATTTCAGGAGAGTCACAAACCCCTCGAAGCTAATTAGGAACTGTTTTCCAAGGCTATATCATGAAACTAGTGCTAATGATGATGCTAGTGATTCAAATTCCCACTTAGCCTTTTGCTAGCTGTGTGTTGTTGTTTAACCTCTCCAAGTCATAGATACTTTATTTATAATATTGAAATAATACAAAACATTGAATGTAACAGGAAAGTTCAGAACATTAAATTAGATCATAAAGTACCTGGTACAGTGGTGGCTCACAGCTGCTACTCGATAAATGCAGCCATCATCATCTTCATTGTCATCATCAGGTTAGGCATTGGGATGCTTAAGGATTGATTCACTGAAGATACACAGATATCAACTATTTAACTTTCATAATCAACTTTATATTTAATCTTGAACGTACCATTCTATTATAATTATGTTTCATTGCATAAATACAGGAGCCCTCTGGTGGTCAAAACCACTTTTAGACTACATGGAAAACACTATTTAAGCATAAAAAGGACTCACATAAGAATATTTTTATCTCCATCCCATAAAAAAATAAGAAGTAATAGGTGTATATATAGTATCATGGGCTGAATTACGCCCCCTCAAAATTCATATGTTGACATCCTAACCCCTAGAACCTCAAGAAGTGACTATATTTGAAGCTAGGTTCTTGAAAAGTGTAATTAAGTTCAAATAAGGTCATTAGGGTGGTTCTTGGTCCAGTAGGACTGTTATCCTCATAAGAAGAGATTTAGACACAGATATATACAGAGGAATGACCACATGGGAACACAGGGAGAAGGTAGCCATCTTCAAGCCAAGGAGAGAGGCCTTAGGAGAAAACAACCCTGTCAATAATTTGATCTCAGAATTTCAGCCTCCAGAACTGTGAAAAAATAGGTTTCTGTTGTTTAAGCCACCTAGTCTGATGCTTTATGGCAACCCTAGCAGACCAAAACATATGAATGGAGGTCCCAATCAATAGACAACATCAATCTCTTAACCCTGTGATCCGCCCGCCTCGGGCTCCCAAAGTGCTGGGATTAGAGGCCTAAACCCCGTCTCTACAAAAAATACAAAAATTAGCTGGGTGTAGTGCTGTGCGCCTGTAGTTCCAGCTACTTGGGAGGCTGAGGCGGGAGAATCACTTGAACCCGGGAGGTGGACGATGCAGTGAGCTGAGATCGTGCCACTGCACTCCAGCTTGGTGACAGAGCAAGACTCCGTCTCAAAATAAATAAAAAGATAACATCAATTTTCCGTTTAGTGTAAGTTGTGCCAACAGATGTAACTGGTTGTCTTCTCAGAGGTCCATTTGGATAGAACCTGGGATGACGTATCCCATAAAGCATGGATCTAATGAGGTTAGGGTGAAGGAGTCCTTTCTGGATATAGGTCACATGAGATGTACCTTGTTTCATGGTCAAATAGTAACTATTGAAAATAAAACCAAGAAGACCTATCTGAATACAGTATGTGGCGAGGTACAGTGCAAAAGCATCAATCAAAAATAATAGAAGCATCATGTTCGTTGACAAGGTCTAAAACATGTAACAGAATTTAATCCTATAATTATAATTTGCAATAGAATTGTCAAAATTTGCTGTCGTTTTGCTTAAAATTTTTTCTAAACTTCACAAGAACCCCTTATGATTGCTATTTTTCTTTTTTCTACTCTTAAAGATGATGAAGTGAAAAGTCAGAGAAGGTCAGTCAGTAAAGAAAGTTGCAGGGGTACAGTTCAAACCTTTTTAACGCCATATACCATGCTCCTTTTACTGCTTCCTGCTGCCTCCTCCCATTTCCCATTTCACATGAACCTCAACTGCTGAAACCTTCTGAAAGCATCTGCATCAAATATGAGATTTTTTTTTCACGACGAGAGTGGCAGGCAATTGTCATACAAGCTTGTGTTTATGGACTGAACATATGAAAAAAGTAGATGGATATGAAATCTCCTGTCCAGAGTGTCAAAATGATTGGAAATGTACTGATCTGAGAAGGAAGAATCTTTTCATCCTTATAATTTTATGTTATCCTGTGCAGTCACTATTTAATGAGAATTGGTGTGATCTTTCTGTGTTCACAGAAGTATACGTTTGTTATAGTAAAGAGTCCTACATTACCTTTTGTTAGTTTGAAGGTAATCTCTTGAATAACTGACCCTCAGTTGCATTTTAATACCGAACATCTAAGAGCGTAAATAAGAATTCACAAATAAGAATTCATGAGAAAATTATTTAACTAGTAGAATTCAGAATTAGCAAAGCGCTCCCACATCAGATAATTAGACTCAAACATACAAAACTGTTGCATTAAATGCAGTAAGGTTTGATTGATTGGGAGTCCACTAATGCATGATGATTTCATTCAGCTGATGTTAAATTTAATATAATTTAATCTAGCTGACATTTACCTCTGCAGTTTCTCTGAAGAAAGAATATGCTAAGATACTACAGCGTGAAGCAGCAGCCGCCATTTCAGGGAGCTTGCCCACGCTGGCTGCCGAAGCCGCCGTCCTGCTCTCCCGCGTGGGCTTCTCTAATTCCATCGTGTGTTTTAGATTCGCTCGGACCTCGCCGTCCCCTGAGCCCGATATTCGTGCTGGGCGGTCCCGCGGCCTGGGCCTAGGGACTTAGGAGTAGCAACAGCAGCGGCGGCAGCGGCGGCGGCAGCAGTCACTTCCCGAACAGGAGCGCCACAAGCGCCCGAAAGCCCGCACAGGCGTTTGAGAAAATGGCAGACGACATTGATATTAAAGCAATGCTTGAGGCTCCTTACAAGAAAGATGAGAACAAGTTGAGCAGTGCCAACGGCCATGAAGAATGTAGCAAAAAGAGGGAAAAAAGCAAGAGCAGAAGTCGTAGTCATGAACGAAAGAGAAGCAAAGTAAGGAATGAAAGTGAAGTAGAGTTGGAGAAAGGAAAAAGAGCAAAAGCCGTGAAAGGCAACGAAGTAGAAGCAAAGAGAGGCGACGGAGCCACTCAGGAAGTCGAGATCGAAGATTTAGAGGCCCCTCAGAAGTCCTTACTCCGGACCAAAATTTAACAGTGCCATCTGAGGAAAGACTGCATTGCCTCATAGCATCAAATTAAGCAGACGACGTTCCGGAAGCAAAAGTCCATTTAGAAAAGACAAGAGCTCTGTGAGGGACCCTACTGATAATCTAACTCCTAAGGAAAGACATGCAAGGACAGTCTACTGTATGCAGCTGGCGGCAAGAATTCGACCAAGAGATTTGGAAGAGTTTTTCTCTACAGTAGGAAAGCTTCCAGATGTGAGGATTATTTCTGAAGGAAATTCAAGACGTTCAAAAGGAATTGCTTGTGTGAAGTTCGTCGATGTTAGCTTAGCTCAGTACTTCTAGCAATAGGATTAACTGGCCGACGAGTTTTAGGACTGCCAGTCATAGTACAGGCATCACACGCAGAAAAAAACCGAGCTGCAGCAATGCCAATTTACAAAAGGAAAGTGCTGGACCTGTGAGGCTTTATGTGGGCTCGTTACACTTTAACATAACTGAAGACAGTCTTCGGGGGATGTTTGAGCCTTTCAAAAGGATTGAAAGCATCCAGCTGATGATGGACAGTGAAACTGGTCGATCCAACGGATATGGATTTATTACATTTTCTGATTCAGAATGTGTCAGAAAGGCTTTGGAACAACTTAATGGATTTGAACCTAGCAGGAAGGCCAATGAGAAGTTGGTCCTGTTACTGAGTGTACTGATGCTTCAAGCGCTAGTTGATTTTTGGACAGTAATGAACTGGAAAGGACTGGAATTGATTTGGGAACAACTGGTGGTCTTCAATTAATGGCAAGACTTGCAGAGGGTACAGGTTTGCAGATTCCACCAGCAGCACAGCAAGCTCTACAAATGAGTGGCTCTTTGGCATTTGGTGCTGTGGCAGAATTCTCTTTTGTTACAGATTTGCAAACAAGGCTTTCTCAGCAGACTGAAGCTTCAGCTTTAGCTGCAGCTGCCTCTGTTCAGCCACTTGCAACACAGTGTTTCCAACCTTCTAACATGTTTAGTCCTCAAACAGAAGTTGGATGGGATACAGAGATTAAGGACGATGTGATCGAAGATTGTAATAAACATGGACGAGTTACTCATATTTATGTTAACCAAAATTCAGCTCAGGGCAATGTGTATGTGAAGTGCCCATCAATTGCTGCAGCTATTGCTGCTGTCAATGCATTGCATGGCAGGTGGTTTGTTGGTAAAATGATAACAGCAGCATATGTACCTCTTCCAGCTTACCACAACCTGTTTCCTGATTCTATGACAGCAACACAACTACTGTTTCCAAGTAGACAATGAAGGAAGATATAGTCCCTTATGTATATAGCTTTTTTCTTTCTCAAGAATTCATCTTGAGTTATCTTTTATTTAGATTAAAAAAAAGAGGCAAGGATCTACCGTCATTTGTATACAATTCCTGTTACCTTGAAAAAATAAAAAAATTAACAGGAATGCAGTGTGCTCATTCTCCCTAAATAGCAAATCCCACTGTATACAAAACTGTTCTCTTGTTCTGCCTTTTCAAATGTTCATGTAGAAAATTAATGAACTATAGGAATAGCTCTAGGAGAACAAATGTGCTTTCTGTGGAAAGGCAGACCAGGGATGCAATGTTTTTAATGTTTCAGAAATCTAACTTTTTACATAGCAGTTACATTTCACATTTCACTAATGTTGATATTTGGCTGATGGTTGAGCAGGTTTCTGAAATACACATTTAGTGTATGGGAATACAAGACAGCTAAAAGGGCTGTTTGGTTAGCATCTCATCTTGCATTCTGATCAATTGGCAAGAAAGGGAGACTTCAAAATTATAATATTTCTTGATTGTATCTTTTCAATTAATGTATCTGTAAAAGTTTCTTTGTAAATACTATGTGTTCTGGTGTGTCTTAAAATTTCAAACAAAATGATCCCTGCATTTCCTGAAGATTTTTAGTGAGAGTCTGGTAAGCAAAGCAGCCTGAGAAAGAAATAGGAAATGCAGAAATAGGTTTTGTCTGGTTGCATATAATCTTTGCTCTTTTTAAGCTCTGCGAGTTCTGAAATATATTTTTGGGTTACTTCAGTGTTTTTGACAAGACAGCTTGATATTTCTATCAAACAAATGACTTTCATATTACAACAATCTTTATAAATAAAAGTCTCTTAAAAAGGTAAAGAAAGTAAAAAGAAAATTACTATTGTGTAAACAAGAATGGGTGAAGGTATTTTCATCTTAAGTAAGCCAAAAATAATTGTTTTAAGAAACCTTGGCACATTCATTGTAAACCAATCATATCCAACCCATTATGTGGGTATAGAGTGGCTATGTGTTCAGTCTGTTGAATTAATCAATACAAAGCATGCAGCTTTCCGACCCCCCTTGAAGACGATCATTGACTGTGTGTCTGCTCGCCAAAATGGTGGTTCTCAGTGTGGTCCTCAGACCAGCAGCATCTGCATCAACTAGGAACCTGTTAGAAATGCTAATTCTTAGGCCCCAGCTCAAACCTATGGACTCAAATACTCTGGTTGTGTGACTCAGCCGTCCATGTTTTAATAAGCCCTCCAGGGGATTCTGATGTATGCAGTGTGAGAACACTGCACAAGAAAACAGTTGTTTGCTGTTTCAGTGTTCTTAATTACACTCCAAAGAAAGAGAATTCTCCTTCTTTCTGAGTATTCTGTTCTTGAACTCTTTCACTGTTTCATAGGGGAATCTCCCCAATTAATTCAGGGAGATGAGCCACAACTTAGTGTTTGTTTATAGTGATTCCAAGAGGTCAAACTGATGCCCATTGTCCTGACAGAGGAATGAAGACTCAGGGCCTGGCGGGTCTCCTGCTACTAGAGGAGAATGGAAATTGACCAGGATGTGGAGCTCTCAAATGGTTGCAATAACTTCCAAATCTATTTTTTTCTTTCTAAGTTGTGTTGCAAATGAAATCCAATCCATATTTCCCCTAATTTACATTTAAAATGGTTCAAATGTTCTGTTGGTAGGAGATGAGTGTCCCAACGGACCTTATGAACCTACTAAAACCTAATTTTCAAAACAGGAAGTTGCACTTTACCCAGTGCAAACAAAGTTTAGCACGAAAGGCCTGATTTGTATTTAACTTTCTTAGCCGAAAAATTTGGAATATATTTTAATTTTCAAAACACATTCTCTCCCATTCTCCCTACCATCATCAGTCACATCTGCTGCCTTTCCTTCTCATATAAACTAAGTTGTGAGAGCTCTAACCTTATTTTTATAATCATATTCTTGTCCTTTATGGTTAAGGAATCATGAAACTCTGGAAATATAGTAGTTATCCCTAAGATTAATTTAGTTCTACAACCATTTATTGTTGCCTGCACCAGAAAATAGGACTGGCCTGCAGTGAAAAAGGAAATTTTAAAAAAATTCAGAAATGAGTTGATCTTAGCTGAGAAATGACTATTTGGTGCACTAAATATATATTTGATCATCATTTGCTCCAATTGCTTGAGAATAAGACATAACCTCTATATTAAATCTCTGAAATTTTTTTGGAGATGCTAAAGAGGATCTCCATATTAGGGAACAAGCAATTTAATTAGGGCTAGAGGAGGAGGAGGAAAGAGAGAGAACTGTGGCAACCTGCCTAGGCCAGGATAGGATACAGTCAAGCTGTGTTGTACCTAACTCCTCTGTGTTTGCATGGTACTTTGTACATACTTTCATCTAGTACTTCCCTCAAGGCAACTAATGATTTACACATCTATTTCTCTTACTAAGACTATGAGACTTTTGAAGTTAGGGGCTGTTTTTTGTTTGTTTGTTTGTTTTTGTTTTTTCTCAAGGAAGTTGTGTTGAGTTGCCCCTGCCGCTTGATACAATGTACCTACTTCAACTGGTTCTCTTAGCTGGTTTGCAACTTGAGGCCTCATGGAGGATTACAGAGATACTATCCCTTTGGTCTTACACCTAGGAGAAGAGGCTCCTAGGTAGTGTAGGGCAGAGCCTTTTTAATGTAAAAATGCCAGAGTTTAGGAATTTTTTTCCTTTATGGGAACAGATGGCCAGTAACTAGGTGTGGAGGCAGAAGAGCCCTGAGGAAATATGGTGAAAATAGGGAATACAGAGGTGAACCTCCCTCACCCGCACCTCCATCCCCACACCATTCAGTGCCTCATCCTGAGCAAGTATGTCAGTGTGCAAGTTATTATTGCTGCATAGCAAATCACCGCAAAATTCTGGCTTTAAAAAGTAGCAATCACTCCATTATCTTTCCAAACTTTTGCAAGTCAGGAATTTAGGAAGGGCTCTACTGGGGTGGTTCTGGCATGAAATGTCTTACTGCAGTCGCAGTCAGGTAGTAACTAAAGCAGGAACAGGTGGGGTGCTGGAGCAACCAGGACCTGGCTGGGCATCTTTCGCACTCTTCATTAAGTCTCAGGGCCTCTCCACATAGTCCCTCCATGTGGGAAAAACAGGGAGTCTAGACTGTTTAGGGAGACCCAGGATGCCAAGCATTAGTGTGACAGTGAACAAGGTGGAAAGTTGGGTGGCCTTTTATGAACTAACCTCAGAAGTCTCATAGTGTTACTTCTGTCATAGATTATTGGTTGAATAGTGCCACAAAGCACACCCAGTTTCACAGAGAGGGGACTCGGCCCTCCACCCCATGATGGAAGGAGTTTCAAAACCACATTGTACAAGAGTGTGTGAGATGGGACATACTGTTTCAGATCTCTTTGGGGAATATATGGTTTGCCATGGCCAGTAAGAGAGCTAACAGCTGTAACATCTATTTGCTTTCCACCAAAATGGTGTCCTTAACCCCCTTCTCTCCCCATCAACACACATACACACCCTGCACTTTTTATTCCAAATACATTTTTGTTTTGTTTTACACTGAAGGAATCTGGCATAACATTAATGTTAAGAAGTCTTAAGGTTTCTACCTAATGAATGTGAATTTAGGTTTCATAAAACTTAAAAATATCACAGGTTTCACTGTTCCCATACATTCCAACGTCATTTTCCCAGGAAATACTATTTCAAGTCCTGTTACAGGGGAAAAAGGTAGATGAAAATCAATATTGATGGGGAGTACTGTAGAAAAATATGTGTGCTGTAGGTTATATTACCACAGAGGTAGTAGTTTCCTGTGGAAACTTTTTCCACAGGAACAGTCAAACATGTTCACATACATTCCCATGTAATTTTCCCTGGAAATACTATTTCAACAGTCAAACCTGTTCACATACATTCCCAAGTAATTTTCCCTGGAAATACTATTTCAAGAAATACATACCTCCCAAATAAACCTGTTCACCACCAGTCCTTTACTGGTGGTAAAACTCAATTTTAAAATATTTTGAGACACAAGAAAAAATTTGGGTGGGGAAATCTAATTTGCTGTTACCCAGAGAAAAGTGAATTACTTAGTATTAACATTTGAAAAGACAAGATTAAAGTTTGTCTCTTTTCCAGAGGTAATTTGTAGCATGTTCAATAGTAGCTGGCATATACTGGCAAACAAACAAACAAAAAGCTAATAAATTCATTCACAAATTGTAGATGATTGCCTTTTTCTAGAAATTGTAGTTTTTTAAATAAAGAACTGCCAGATTTTTAAGTTTTACTGAAAGTATCTCAAGCAAGCAGCAAGTAGCTATTGAGCTTGGTGAGATAATGACTATTTTCTTTAATTACCTTACTACCAAATGTTGTGCTATTCAATATATTCCACACATAAATCATTCCAAAGACAAGATTCAAGCCATCACAGATTTACATTTCACAAAGAAATATAAATTACCCTTGTCTCTGTTTTCCACATTGATGATCTGTGTAATGAGCTGAAGAGGTAAGACTCAGGAAACCATCTTCATTAACAGTAAACTAAGAACAATTAATAACATTTTTTAAAAGAAGGAGGAGAAGCCATTACCTGGGGCTAGATAATTGAATTGTATAAACTTGTTGAACCTTTAGTCAACTATAAATGTATTTGCAAGTAATTATCACCCACAGTATAAATAACTTTATAATATTCTACCTGAGTCAACATTAGTCAGATTTGCAAAACACAAAGGAAAATAAGCAATTAGTTGATTCCTTATCCAAGAAAAGCATATTACTTAGTTACAAATAATTCCAAAATTCCCAGAGGAATGAGTGGGCAGAGGCTGGTTCTGTATAGCATATGACTCAACTTCAGATGTGGCAAGCAGGTGACCTGTCGACAGGAAGGCCGCCTTCTGGTAAACTGCAGCCCAAGCTTCCTCTACTTTTCTGAAAGCCCATTATAACACAGGCTTGTAAAATATGGAAGTCTGAGGGCTGGTATTATAACCTGACACAGTTTTGGAGATCTTCATATGGGAATACCTGAAGTACACCTCTTGATTATTCTCAAAAGTAAATTTTTAGAAGATCTTCTGCCAAGAGCTTCACGTCTGTGAGACAAAAACCTTGGGGGCGAGGGAGGGAAGGTAGGGGAGCATGTAACCATGCTGTGAAAATCCTGGGCTAAATATTCATT